TTTGCAGTCATATTATTGCCATAAACGGTCTCAATTTTTGCCCAAACACGAGTAACCCCTAAAAACGAGAAAAAAAAATGGCACAAGGGAGAACACAAAATTAAATTTTGTTAAAAACGTTAACAAACCATAAACGGACCCTTAGTTAAGAAAATTTTCTATTTTATAGTTTCGAGCAATATTTTTTGAATATAGAAGTTTGCGCCGCGTCATAGCGCCCTCTCACTTGTACAATCTGCTTTTGGACGCCATGTAGGCATTTCATGCCTGCTCGCTGCATTCTTCTTGTTCTTGATGTGTCTTTTTGCGTGATATTTTTTTGAATCAGCATATTAATCATTACTTTTATAATTGAACACAATTTTTGGCATGAGTGCTGGGCAGCGCGCGCGGGGGGCTATGACTACTCAGAGCGCAAGGTGTCCATTGTTGCTCTGGTACCCGGGCGTGGGTGTGGAGGTGTGGAGCTGCTCAACAGGTGGTGTTGAACCATGACGCCCTCCCCCCCGCGCGCCCCAACTGTCTGGCAGAAACGGGTCCGTTTAAAAATTAATTTTCCTTGTTGTGGTGGGGTCAGTTAGAAAGTGCGTCTTTCGTCTCCCGTTACGAAATTGTTCAGTTCAGCCGATGGAAGCAGGTCGTTTCGCAGGCACCGAGCTCTCGTAATATGCCGAACACGATGTAGTCATATCTCTACATCGCGATGCTGAAGTACCGAATGCGCACTGCAAAATGCTTGCAAAGAATAGGTTTGTATTGCCAACTATTTTCTTTGCAGCTGCTTGCAAAGAATTTTCAAGCATTGTAATACGAACTAGTTCTTCGCAATGCAAACACATTGTTTGCAAGGATTCTGACAGCTTGCAATACGAACTAATTCTTTGCAATACAAAGCTCGCAAATTCTTTGTAACGTTGAAAAGAATCTAGTTTGCAAGCATTTTACAGTGCGTCTGTGGAACGGATGTACTTTCTAGGATCCCTAAGAAGAATACATACCATTCTCGGTGTTAAACTCGATTCGGCCAAAATGAACCCCATTTTTGGATCATACACTGGATATTAATAACTTTTAGGGTAAGGTGACCAGTGATGGACACTGTACCAGTGATAGCCGCTTTTCTTGATTTGCAGCCAAACTCGTCACTTTACGATCTTGGCACGGAACTAATGTTCGAGACTCCTACCGTGGTATAGTAAGCGAAACTACCTCGCTCCGTTGTTTACATTCCAATAAAAAGGGGTGTCCATCCCATCACTGGGCAGATTGATCTGTTAAGGTGTCCATCATTGGGCATTTTACCCCACTGCTCATGTTACGGGACATGAAGAGTATCGCGTCCATGGGGGAATACACTCTACACATGAACCGCATAGATCTCCAATATACAATGGACAGCGACGTAACCTATAATTTCCAGAGAGCATCCTGCAGTGTATAAACGTGCGAATGGTTGGGGCTGCTTTGAAATTGCAAACCGACCCGACCTCTTAAACTATTGCTTCAGTAACGCAAGGGAATTCCTTCGTTGGCTTACAAAAAAGCCAAATCCTTCACAACCACAATACGACAGAGCCCTTGCAAGACTTTGTCAGTGCGTCGCAAGTGTCGCGCGCGCTGCCTTCGTCTCTCTCACTCTCACAATCCCGCCCCTTGACCCCACCGAGAAACATGGAGAAATAGTTAAAGGTCAAGAGTCAAAGCCACAAGATTTGAAGAGCTAGCAAAACGTTTTGCTTTCCTCTGGTTCTGGGCGCCTGAGCCACGGTGTGGAGTGGCGTTCTGCCGTGCAAACGTCTTGTCTTCCCCCCGTCTCTCCTATACGACACGTTCAGGCCGAGAAAGTGGCAGGAACTGTGAAAGAGAAACTCAGAAACTGGCTCATGCTCGTAATTGAAAACAAATGGGCTTTTAAAATTAAACCTTTGGTTGAAAAAAGAACAAGGAATAGAATTAGTTCAAACTAACGTTTCACAGTTTTCGATAGTTTGTAGCTCGATATTTAAATGGGATTTTTGGAGATATTGTCATTGTAGTACGACAAGGTTTGCCAGGTTTTTCAGAGTCCGAAGTAGTGTGTCACTCTGTCTCACTCTGACACCAACGCTCACTGTTCCCGTCCCGGTCGTTGATCGGCCCCGCGGCCGGCAGGTGGTCACCCGTGGGCCGCGGTCAGCAACGGCCGAGGCAACGGCGCCGTGCGCGAGGGTCGTGGTCCCGAACTCCTTTGTCACCCCGGGGCTGCCCGCTGGGCGGGGCGGGG